CAATGTCATACTCGGGATTAAGGCCAGCAAGAAATTCAAACACCCTGTACTTCTCTAGGTGTTTCTGGTAGACAACTGCATCCTTAGTGGTTTCCCAAGCAAATGTCTTTAAATGGTCAATCTCCTGCCACAGAGTTTTAAGTCCTGAAAAGTAAACTTTAATAGGTCTATCTCCCTGCCTTGTAGCAATAATCTGATTTCCCAATTGACAAGTCCTAATAACATTCTCTCTCTGTGAATAGGTTTCTACAACCCCATCCCATATTTCCTTAGTTGTATTTGCCCATAAAAAGTTTTTACTTATATTGGGCAACATAAAATTACATAGCCAAGCCATCACCATATAGTTCTCCTGTACCCACCGGGAGCTGTTAGTTTCGGGTTTCACTTCTTCACCAATGATATACTCTAACTTCCCACGAGCACCAATGCCCATCTTTGCAGATTGTGACCATTCTAAGTAATTCGAACCTTCCAACTTAACTGTAGTAATGGTCCTAGCCCCGAAAAGGTCTCCAACACTGAAGGGATGAGAGATCCATCGTATGGATGCCSAAATCTTGCGGAATAAGTTGGGCGAATTTCAAAAATTTCTCTCCCTTCCAACTGGGAATCGAATTCCCTATTTAGAAAATCATATTTTCAAGGATCAATCTTGAACCATAAACTGAACCAGATCTGAACCAAAAGGAGTAGGAGAGATGTATACCTGATACAGAGAAATATTATCTCTCAATGAAGGTGTTCACGCCCAAGGAAGGATCCAAAGACTGCTCCCACTGAAGATGGCGCAGTGTAGGATGGAGCAGAATCAACAGTGTTCTTTTCCAAGAACTCTGTCCTTTGCAAGAAATAGCAGGATGGCACGTGAGCACAGCTTCCTATCAATCCTTTCACAAAGAATTGATGTCAAGATTGAATCTTGGCTTCTCCCACAACTGGAGATCAAACTGGCAAACTAGGCGGCAAGAACAAGGAGGCGACAAGAAAGAATTCTGTAGGGTTGCTTAATTCTTCCTTATGTGTTTTCATTTAGCACTAAAGAGGATGTGAATTATCTTTTTAAAGGCTGCCGCCCCTTCTTTCTCTTGTAACCCTAAAGGATTAGCTCCTAATCCAATTAGGACTTGATGATCCAAATCTGATTTGGATCAGACATCCCTTTAGGTGATAAGGATAAACCCTTATCTTATCTGCAGATTAGATTAGCCTTCTCCTAATCTTATTAGGAGGTTTCTAGATCTGAATCACATTCAGATCTGGACTCTCTGAGTGGATAGGGTCAAGACCCTATCCTATCTGCTAATCCAT